CAAGCTGAGGTATGATTTGAAACAGCTGTGGCAGACTGGGCTATGGGCAGGTTGAGCCAGGATCTGTAACTGCTCTGTAGTCCCTCTTACTCCTCTCTTAATGTTTACTCCTACTTAACAGTTATTTTATCTGTTGGAAGGAAACTCCACATATGTAAAAAGGAAAGGAATTGTGATTCTAATAGGAGGACTTGTGATGTAGAGAACTGTGGGAATGAGACCTAGGGGAACACAGTATAGACAGAACCATTAAGCTGCAAACTTAGAGGGGCTCTCAGTCATGTGAAATACAGCCTTGTGAGTTTCGAATGTGTTTGTGTTTGCTCACAAGGCTGTTGCCAGATAGACTCTTCAGTGCTTTTTCTCTTCTTGGCAGGGAGGCTAAATAGGTGTAAGTCTGGCTGCGTTGGGTTTCATGTCACCGAGTTCTTTGTAGTGCTGAAAGAAGATGGAGCTGTTTCTTTCCCCTTGTTCTGACTCTCTGACTTTTCATTGGTAGGCAGGTGATTCCATATCATGATTTAAATCAAGTGGGAAAGAGTTAAAATATATTTCTTTCCTGTCTCTTCAGGACAGAGCAACCTTTGGAGATACAGGACTGTAGCAATCCCTGTTCTACTTGACTTGAATCAGGCTTTTGCTCAGTTTTGCACAAAGATACTCACTTGAGATGTGGGAAACTGTAGTTCAAGCTGGTCTTCAGTTGCTAATACCAAATGATATTGCTCCATAAGGAGAAATAATGATCTGAGTAATTGATGAAGTGATTCACTGGCATCAATTAGACATAGCCAAACACTGAACACCTGCTATAACCTTTACAACAGGAGTCTGGCTTCTTAGAGTCAGGCAATACTCTCATTTTGATGGCATATTCTCTTTCTTGAAAAAGGTACATATATTTACAGATCACCGAAGCACAGAATGACTGAAAGGGACCTCTGGAGATCATCTTGTCCAACTCTTCGGCTCAAGCAGGGACACCTACAGCTGGTTGCCCAGGACTATGTCCAGACAATGTTTGAATATCTCCAAGGACTACAACCTCTCAGAGTAACTGTGCAGTGCTCAGTCACCCTCACTGTAAAAACGTGGTTCCTGTTATTCAGAGGGAACCTCCTGTGTTTCAGTTTGTGCCTATTGCTTCTGGTCCTGTCACTGGGCATCACTGAGAAGAGTCTGACGCCATCCTCTTTGCATCCTACTTTTGGGTATTTATAAACATTAATAAAATCCTCCTGAGACTTTGTCTGCTCATCCAGCCCAGATGTCATCAACTTCCTTATGAGGATCTTATGGAAAACAGTGTAGAAAACCTTACTGAAGTCCAGATGGACAATATCCACTGTTCTCTCCTCATCTACCAAGCCAGTTGTTTCATCATAGTTTATCAAGTTGATCAAGCATGACTTGCTTTTGGTGAATCCATGCTGACTGCTCCTGATGACTACCTCGTCTTCCACATGCCTGGAAATGGATTTCGGGATTAATTGCTTCACCACCTACATTTTGAACTAATAAAAGATATTTAGAGAAATCTTTGTAGTCAATACTTGAATGCTTCTAGCCACACTGTTCTTTAAATACCGATGAGATGATCCTATCACATCTCTGTTGTACTTTGGGTTTCTTGTTCTCTACTCCCCAGCCCCCTCACAAGTTATTTTTGTGATAGCATTGTTTATTCCTCTTCACAAATCATTTTGAAACAAGTAAGGAGTCTTGAAAACCACATTCCTTGCTGTTTAAATTGTATATTTTTTAGTCCATAGGTCTATGTAGGGTGTGATTAGGTCTGTCCATAGCTTGTGATGATAATCTCTACACAGGTAAAAACAACTTAGAAGAAATTAATTACTGAATCTGTTTTGGAAGGAGAAGGAGCAAATGATAGGGAAGGAGGTAAAATATCAAGGTCAATGAAGGGGAATTATGTCTAAATAGTCTGAGGCTGCAGTACAGTGATGAACACCTCTATATTTATTGCAGTTTGAGACATTGATTTTCACCTGATGATTTAATGCAAAATGGAGAGATATGGAACCAGTAACCTCATTGCCCCTTCTTAATATAATATTTCTACTAGGATGAAAGCCATTCTTACTTTATTTCATTTTTGATTGTTTAATTTTAAGACTATTTCTTATGTTAAAATTTCAGCTAGGTAATCTCAAAAGTTTAGCAAGGTTTGTAAAGAGAGTTAACATCACTCATTTTACCAACAGTTACACTTGGAATAAATGATGAGGTTCTGGATGCAGAAGATCATCTCTGAAGAGGATGAAATCGAAGCAGTAACTTGCTCAGAAACTTTATACTGAACACTTGCTAGCAACAAAAGTTCTCTAAGGAAACATACCCCTTTCACAATATAATTATCAGTTAGAAAATTCAAGAGGCAGCACCTCTGTAGCAGGTATAGATGCTAAGTAGGTAGGTGCTCATTTGTGTCTCACCATGGGTCTGGGTTAATGTTCAGGCAGGACATGTGCCTGCAGGTGGGCCCGGCTTGGCTGTGGAGGAGCTGGAGACCGGCCCTGCTGCAACATTGCAGGGGTGGGGGCTGACATGGGGTCCTGGGCCCTGGGCAGGGTGGGGTGAGCCCTGTGAGGCTGGACAGGGACAGTTAGGGCTGGTGGTGCCCTCAGGGACATGCTAAACTGAAAGTTTTTTGTTTTGGAGATGCTATCTATGATATGGTTTACTAACCTTTTAATTTCATTCTGGAGAACTGGGAAACACTGTGAAGGTGAAAAGGAGTAAGAGATCAGTTTTCCAGAGAAGAAAGTCTCAGGACTTCTGGCGATGTTGTTGTTGGTCAGAGCCCTCTGCCGTGTATCCCTGGCAGCTTCTCAGTTATACTGACATTGAACTGCAATACCCTCCCTGTGCATGTCCTATCCATCTGAAAGATGTTTAGATAGTATAGGAGTGGAAATTGATTGAGCTAGGTAGGCAAAGACCTAAGTGCAGATAGATTTTGATGTGCTGATTTCAGTTTGATGTCTGGGATTGCAATTTCTCTCAATTTATGCTGTGTTTTTTTGGGGAGGGTGTGTGAAAAACAGCTCAGTGGCTTTTATCCTGACTTCATTAACCAACAATGATAGTATCTGATACATCATTTGTGTAAAGATGAAAAGTTTTTCACTTATGAGAGGGTTTTCATGTATGAATTTTCACTGAATCAGTTTTCAGTCTTTTCCAGTCTTTCTGGCTATGAAAATTTTAAGATAATCTATTCCTGAATTACCTAGGTTCTTATAAAAAAAGTCATCTGGGAGAAAGGCAGATATATTTATCAAAGCTTGCTCATGCACAGAGAGGCATATATGATTTCATCAAGGGTAATTGCTTTACTAGTAATAACTTGGAAGTGACACAGTCAACATTACCTCGAGCATAGCAAGAGCCTTGCTGTTATAGCTGTTTAAGTGCCTTCTGGTACATTTCTTCCTGTGAGTTTCAGAAACACAGAAATAATATTAAAAGGCCCAAGGAGACTTAACTGTATACTTGAAGTGGGGACTGAATAGATGATCTGAACTTCATGCCACTGGGTAGATTATTCTGTCTTCTATTCATCTATTCCTTATCTACATCTCTGAATTCCCTATCTACAATCTCTGAAAGGTGTACCTTGACAGGCTTGAGGGATATTATGTGGAGCTCTTGCTGTTCCAACTGATCTTTAATTTCAGTATGTCTCAGCATGGTCTTTAGATTCTGTTCCTTTGACTTTGGGTTTTTCCTTTTTTTTCGGATTGGTCTTTTCCCCTCTTTCTGCTGTCTTTCTCCTTTAGCTGTATCTTGTCGTCCTTTTCCTCCTCCTCCTTAATCTCAGTCTTGGCCTTTCTCTTACCCCTAATTTAAGAATTAATCTTTTCTTTTGACACAGGACTGGTACTCTCTCCCCTTCTCTTTGACCTTAGACTTAGCCTTTCTTCTATCCTTCATTTTTACTATGTCTTATTCTACATGCTTTCTTGGCATTGGTACTTTCTGGTCTGGAGTTCCCCTAAGGGGATTTATCCATTCAGAATTTCTTAATATGGCAAATCACTGTCTTCTGCAACATCAGCATTTCTCTTGCATGTGTTGCTGTTTTGGGCTCAGACTTCATGAGTTTAATTGTGTCTGACTTCTTAGAGCAGTTTGCAAATTCTTCAGAAGATTTGGTTTGTTTTGTTTTGATTCAAACTGAGTCTAACATCTTTGTTTCCAGACAGCCTGTTGGAGTTTGGGGTTTTGTTTTGTTTTGGTTTGGTTTGGTTTGGTTTTTTTCCCCTCAGCATTTTTATTTTTTTTCTGGAGCTTTTCAGGTTTTTGACCTGTAGTAATACTGCTTAGGTTTGTTTGGAACCTAACTGTACTCATATAATCTTCCTTTCATCCTTAAGATTTCCATTTGTTGGTGTTGCAAAAATCTTCACATTTTCTAATGAAATGTTTATTATATGCTATTCAAATATTCATTCTGATGAGGAGTTTTTAGTCTGTCTTATCCACTGTATCACACATGATATCTTTGTTTTGACAGGTAGTTAGTTCATGGTGATTCTGATGTAGCCCACATGAGAAATGAACCTGTATTTTGCCAGTCTCATTAGCAAAGCTTTGTATCCAAATACTTTTGAAGGCAAGAAGATTTTTCAAGAAACATTACTACTTTTTGGAAAAAAACTGGGACCTTACATCACTTGTTCCTAGCTGCCATCGTGTGTTACAGACAGCTTCATTCTTCCCTGGTCTGCATCCTGTGGAGATGACCTCAGCCTTTCCATTTCTGTGCTATCGTTCCTCTGCTGCTGCAGTTGTGATTTGGTAGCCTCCCATTTTCTCTGAAGAGCAGTCTCTGGCTGTCATTTGTGTCATTTGTGTTAGGCTGTTCTGCCTGCTTTCTCTGTTCATCTCTGGTCTCTGCTAGGGTTTTTCCTGACCTTGTAAACCTTGCCACAGATTCATACATTCCTATTCTTTCTTTTTCTTGTAGTTTTCTCTCTGAACCCAACTACCCATTCTATGGGGTATTCTAGTTGCTTGTGGCAACTCTGACTTCAGAGGAGTGTCAGTCTCTTTTTCCTGCTTTCTCTGAGTATGCTACCACAAGGGGATCCTTATGGGACAGGCAGGAATCAAGACCAGAGGCACAGGTAGGTTCAAGGGTTTAACTAAAGCAGAAAGAGATGAGCAGAGAATCGTGAGGAAACTTCTAGATCAGATGGAGAAAGAAGCAACACAGGTTCTACCATATCTTTCTGATCTGCTTGAAGATGAGAAATACAGCTCTGAATATACTCATTTAGAGGGAGTGTGTGGATGAGAGGCTTACCATCTTCTTCTGGTGTGCTGCTATTGATTAAAGTGGAAAAATGAGTCCCCCAAATCAGAGGGTTTTTTTGTTGGTAAATTCCCTCTCTAAGCAGAGAGAGTTACTGCACATTTACCAAAGGAGCTACATTTCACTGCCTTTGCATTATTTGATACTTATATTTGTTTTAAGTAAATAAGGTACTGCCACTCATTTCTTAGATATCTGTAAGTCAACATTACCTCAGTTGCTATATGTGAAGAGTGGGTTGTTTATTTTTTTACTTAAATCCCACACTCTTTGACTCATGGAGGTAAATAAGCCTTCTATCATTTGGGATGCTGTTTTTTTTTTCCCAGGCAAAGGAAGCCTGAGGTCAGATTTAGCTCTTTAACTTTCAAATACCTAAATTAGGGAAAAAAAACTATTTAATTTGCGTATCTCTGAATATTAATCTAGCTGGTCTATGTCCATTTCCTGCTATAAGATCTACCTCTAGCTGGCTTTCCTCTTCAGAACACCCCCTCCTCTCAAACTGTCCAGGAAATAAACAGTTGAAATAGCATCATCTGCTTATCTGATATTCTGACTTCTGGGCTACTGATGACACCATCACAGAACTGCCCAGATGCACTGTTTAGTCAGTGATCTTCTATTTGTAGTTAAAAACATTTGAAAATTTTCATGTCATGACATAGGAAATTCTTGAATTTAGCAGTTGGGAGAGTGTACTATTAAAATGTTCAAAAGAAAGAACTTGATATGAAACTGAATCAGTGAGAAGTATGTAAACACTGTAAAAGATATAAAGATGTATTTAAAAATGCTAAGATTGCCTTTAAAATGGTACATTTTCTTAGAGAGACTTCATAAACCTGTTTGCTCAAACTGAATTATATAGTCCAGTCATTGTAATTAATAAAATTGAGCATCAAAGAATGATCAAATATTTTTAGCCTATATCTGGGTATTGCCAAGAACTGTCAGAAGTTTTTGCGATGGCTGGAGAGAGTGGGTCATTGTAAAACAAAGCTTTTATGAGACAGAGATTTTATTTCTCAGGTAAAGACTAAGATAACTGTGTAAATATAATGATAGAACATCAGTCTTAGTTGCTTGCCGCTTGTAAAATCACTGTAAAATCAGAGTGTTGTGAGAATTGTGAGAAATGAGTCAATTAAGCTTAAACTGAATAACATTAAAACTAGTGTCGTTACAGCACTATCAGATTTAAGTTACCTATAAGTCTGTGGACTGGTGAGAAAACCTGTTTTAGACTTCAGGAGAATATGATCAGAAGGACTGCCAGACCCCCTTAATGTTTTTATTAAAATGTTATAATTATGAGGAAATCAATTGACGCAAATGTGGAGATAAAATTACTCTTTAATAAAGAAAAATGTGTCGATGATGTCTGTATTTATTTTGTCTTAAAATTTGACTGCTAATCTTTTAACCTGTGTGCCCATGCTTCCTGATACAAAGCAAGTGCAGTATTTTTTTTTGTTTGTTTGTTTGTTTGTTTGTTTGTTTAATAATTGCCTATGACAGAGATGAAGCCTAAACATGATCTGTAAATGGACAAGAGAGAACAGTGTGGTTTACTAGAATGTATAAAGTCTAAACTATAATCTAGTCATATACAATTAAAATCAGTCTGGCAAAGACAATTAGAAGATATGTAAGGAAATCAGAAGGTGAAAATGATAAACGCATAGGTACAAAGATGAACTTGGAAAACCTAGCTCACAAATAGCACTTTTTTCACTCATTTTTATGCTTTAAAGCTGGAGACTATTTTGGTGCTATAGAGAGACAGTAAACACAGTCCCTGGTGTTTACCAGTAAAGCTGAGGTGAGTTTTGATCTCTCCCTGTAACAGGGAAGCTGTGTTAGCCTTAGCAGATTTTCACTGTCCAGCCATTCCTTAAATCCTTCCTTATTTCTTATATCCTAGGTTTAATCACCTACTACTCTTGGAGAATTGGAATGGCTGGCAAAATCTACGTGAGCAGTGAAATCTGCAGTAAAAGGGCCACTGTCACGTGGAGAGATTTAAGACATTACCATAGCTTGGAATAAAGATTGCCCTAAACTTCAACATCTGATTCCTCAATGGGTGTGTATGAAAAGTTGCAGTGTTGCCAGGCTTTCCCTGCAGCAGGTGTCCAGATGGACACTTTCACAGTTTAGCTAGAGTGTTTCACACGTTCCTTATTCATAAGAAATTTTGCTTTGCTTCCATATTCCTGAATATTTCCTTTTCAGACATATATTCAGATAGCCATCTGCTGGTATTTATTTCCAGTTCATAAAGATAACCACTGTCTTTACACAGAATTGAGGCCTGTGTTTGCAGCTGTTACAATGAATTGCACTTATAGGGAGTTTGGCTGTAGTGAGTCAAAACACTCACAAGAGTTATTTAGTATGATTAAGGTTGCAGAAAATGCCAGCAGCAAGTGTTAAAACCTGATTTAATTTACGCCATTGCTTTTCGTCAAAAGTGAAGACTAAAATTGGATGTTTTTTTCTTTAAGTTGTATGAAAAAAATTTTTAAAATACCAGGTGGAAACTCAGTGCCATGATCTTTAGGATCTTTATTGCTAAAACCTCATTTCTTAAAATACAGTATAAATACATACACATATGTAGAAAAAATGTGTTTGTGTGTGTGCGTGTGTGTGTGTGTGTGTGTGTATAAATACATTGCTTGTGATGACAGTCCCTACTTCATCAGTTATCTGGAAGTTATGTCTGTTCCTAATGGTGAATACCATGCAGATGGACCCTGAAAGACATATAAGTTTGTGGAACATATTTGTCAGTTTATTGCCAAAGTGTTTCATCAGTGTTAATAGGCACTATACTGTGGACAAATGTATAATGTGATTTTTCAGAAATGACAAGTTTGTTTGATGTATTAGCAAGCTAATAGGAATACTTGATGGCCTCACCCTTGCTCCTGTAATTTGTTTTGAAATTATATTTGTCACATGAAGTGCTTCTCTGAGTTGATCAGCTTAATAAAAATAAGAATAAATGATATGAAGTGCCTTGGTACTTTAAGAGACATAAAGAAAAGAACATACAAGCAATGCATGGATTACCCAGGGAAAATGTGTGCATCTATAAATGCCATTAAATCAACTCTTCTGGCCTTTGAGGGAAGAGAAGTATTTCAGCTAATACACTCTTGGAATCTATACAAATTACCTGAAATAACATTTTTAACACTATTAAGGTTTAAGTTTTAAATTGCAGTGTGTTGAGATAGTCCTGACATAAGAGACTGTTGGTAAATACTGGTATTAGTCTATGTAAATAGTCTATCTAAAATGGATAGACTGTTGGTAGATTGTTTATCCACTGAAATATCATTTGAAGTAAAAGCAACAGTTTTGAATTACCCATAGGAAAGAACAAATAATAGTCAAAATGGCTTCTAAAAATGTTTGAGTACTTATGTTTTAAGATATTTGAATATTTGAATTTTTATATTTTTAGTTGAACGTGTATAATATATGTTTACAGAAATATTTTAAACCCAAGGGGTTTACGGTGATTTTTTTCTTCTTTTATTTTGAAGTACTTGCCTCAGCTTTTTCCCAAAAATGTATACTTTTGTGGTATATAGGTTTAAAGACAGTTCTATTTTTGTAGCAGTGATCAATCTGCAAAGAAAAAATATTGCTAACAATTTTTATGACAGAAGTCAATACACTATGATCAATGTATTTATTCTCTGGGCATCAATATTATGTTTCTTCTTTGCTTAGGTCTTTAAAAAGAGCATTACAGGTGATAAAATAATAAATTTTTTTGTCACCATTTGTAATTCATAAGCATGCATTTATTTGCTTCATTTACTGAAGAGCACTATATATTTCCTCCTAACAGGAAAAACTGCTGTAACTAAAATGACATCATGCTGCCTCCTATGGGGGAATTCTGAAGCCTTCTTAAAAATACGACACAGTGGTAAGTACTAAAGGTATGTTCAGAACAATTCTATTTTCTGTAAACCTGTATGTAATAGAAATGAGAGCAGATCTCTGTTCCTGGTGTTCTTAAATGTGTTTGAAATACATCCAGTTAAAATGCTTGTTTGCAAGTGTCCATACAATGAGACACGGAATACAATCCATTCTAAATGTTAGTGCTGTTTATGTGCTTATTCATGGTAATAATGAATTTTTATTATTTTTCAGTTCTGTAAATATTGACTGATACCAGTAAATTTGTAGTTAAAAGACATGGGGTTAAAACTGGCTACTGTGACACTGCTACTCATTGAAGTTTGGGGTTTCCAGGCCACACTGTACCAGATAGAGCTGACAATCTGCATTTTCCAAAACAAGGTTGGGTTCCAAAGTTCTTATGGGGCTGTATAAATAAAGGGGCTTAGTTGCTGTTTCATATTGTTACCACAAAGATGTAACTTTTCCTCTCATTTTATTAGCAAAATGTGAGATAATATACTTTAATATATACTGTATACACAGACACACACATAGATATCATATATGTATATTTGTGTGTATATATATATATACACACATATATAAACATGCTTATATCAGTATGAAATACGTGACAACAGTTTAGTTTATAAATCTATGCATAGAATATAGCTCATTTATAAAACACCTAGGATTAATCTAATTACCATTCTTTCATGCTGTGCCTGACACAGTGATTAATGAGAAAGGTAAGACATGTACAAATGACCAGAAAAGTTTCTTTGATGCATAGTTCTTCCTTCTTGCTTTTTGTGATCTATGAACTTTGGAGCAGATGGGACTTCTATAATCATTGTGCTAGCTGCAGTACAATGATGTTTCAATTTAGTGTTATCATTGGGTCCTAAATTCAAGGAGAAGGAATAGTAATATATCTGATGTGATAATAAAGTTGTGAATAAGCAATAATTCAAAGTATGACAGGTTAGTTATGAGATCCGAGGGTACCATTATGTGAAGTGTAAAAATCAGACTAAGAAAATAACAGCTTTGAAAACTCCTGTGATTTTTGCATCACTGAACCATGTTTATTCCGATTTGTAGCAATTTAAATGTGATTGAATAAAAAACACTTTATGAACAGAAGCCTGTTTTAATAGTTTAGTATCCATGCAGATCATGATCATAGCTGAACTATTGCTGTAGTGAATATTACACATATGAATACTATACATAGGATTCAATTACTTACTCTCCTCAGAGAACTCATTACCTTTTTCATTAAAAAGGCAAGTAAATGATAAAAGGAATACAAGACTGATAATAGAAAGAATACAAAGCTGAAGTCAAAGTCAAAATAATCAATTTCTTTGGAGCTAACAATTTGTGGTAGCTTTACATTGTCTTTCATTAGAATTATCTACAGCCATGTTCCAAGGAGGGGGAGAAGGTCTCATCTGAAGACCTATCATGGTACACTGAGATAAACCATAGAGTCTGGGGATAGGAGTCTGAGGGGGAAACAGAGGGATGGTGCAATTTATTTTTCACTTTTTTCTCAGAATTTTGTTTGTTTTTCTTCCTAATGCACAGAGGGAAGGTCAGGGAGAATGAGAAGAAAGGGAAGCCAATAACGTTAAAACAGAAGAGTGAGATAGAGTATATTGATGCCTGGCTTTTAACTCCCACTGCAAGTTAGTGGGCATCAGAAGCTAGTTGTGCCTTTTGAAAACTCCCTTGTTCATGTGAAGTGATAATTAGACTACACATAAAAAACCCAGGAGAGTAGGAAATGAAGTTGTAGATCTGCATCAAATTTACTTCAGCTTCTCTGCTTACTAATTTTCTTAAGTATATGCAGCCACAAACATGTATGTTGAACTGCCAGCCCCAAGGTACTTTAAAAATACACAACAGAAATATGGCAATATATGTTATAGAATTGTAAAATTTGTCTAGAACATTTTTATATTCTTGGAGAAGTTTTTCAAAAGATAAATTGAAATGGATCTGAAGGCTTTCAGGAACATGTACAACCCAAGCCAAACTAACTTTGAAGATGTATTTGCAGCAGGCAATAGTGATCTGTTTGGATGAACAGAAAAACTGAGAGTGGTGTGTATAATTATCAGTGTTGGTTCAAAATACTAACTAAATATGGTAGCTCAGGCAGATTGTAACTGCATTTTGCTGTATTATACTCCTATATTTAAGAGAAAAGCAGAAAGAAACCCCCACACCTTTATCATGTTTACTTTTTGCTTGCTATGATTCTTGTCCAGAATTCCAGCTACAATTCTTCAACATACACCAATGATCTTTTTCAAGAGAAAACTGCAATTTATGGTATGCAAAAAGTGCTTGCTGGCAATGCACAATATAGTAATAAAAATGAAAGCAAACAAATGACCCATGCTTTGTCCTCAGATTTTGATCTTGCATTACAGGTGTAAGCTAATTTAAATGGTGGAATTTTGTTCTAAAATCCCAACCCGACAGCTGAGTGTGCAGATGGAGCCCTGTGGTAGTCCATGGGGTGCTGTGTAGTTTCTTTGATGTAGCCACATACTGTCAGATTCTTGATCATGTTCTCAGACTCTGATCAAGCCTTCTGTCTTGTATCATTCATTATAACAAATGTGAAGGAATAATAAACCCTTCATATTAGAAGGCAGGAATAAATTGTTCCAGCTCTAGTCTTAGGAGTTTTAGGAAATGGAATAGCTCTTAATTCACTGAGGAAAATCAGGGCACAAGGTAACTCTCATTCTTTTAGAGCTGTCAGCTCTCCTCAGCCTACTTTTCAGCTCTCAGGATTCAGTGTTGTTGATCAGAATCTTTGCTTTGCCTCGTCTTGTTAGGGTTTATAGCTATAAATGGAAGTGCGCTCAGCTGAGCTGTCCAACCTCTGGTTAAGCCATGCCTTCAACTCTTTTTTCTAGTTTTCTTTTTGGGTTCTCAGTCTATCTTGCACTCTTCGATGGAAGCAAAATACTCCCCACATTTCTTCTGCCTTTCTAAAGTATTAGCATAATTTTGGCATGGAAATCCATCAATTAAGTAGGCTCCTAAGACCGGTACTATGATACAGAGGCTGTGCTGATGTTGTGCATAGTGTACACTCTTCCCACCAATTCTCTTCATTTTGAAACAGAAAGAAGGAAAGAACTCAATTCTAGGTTCTTCCTTCTATAAAGACAGAAGGTGTGTTTTCCATACTGAAACATAGTTCATAAGCAGAAACTACTAATGAAGTTATCAGCTGAACATCCCAGAACTGATGGTCTGTCAATGAATTGAGGCTGATAATATTTCAGTATGTTTCCAAATTGGAAACTGCATTTTCAAGAAATTCATATATAGTAAATTGAGTTGATCACCTGCTGGCTGAGAATTTAACCAGTCTGTCTAGATATTGTTGCCGGATGTTCCATATCTTTCTATGCATCTATGAATTTGTGCCCAGGGAGAATATTCTGAAATACTCAGTTGACTCAGTTGACCTAGAAAAAATAAATTAAGTTGCATCAGCTGCTTTGCTCTGAGATGTTACTGGTAAATCTAACTTTAGCAAATTCATTACATCACTGATATTGTGGTATGTTTGCCCTTAAAGATAGAGACCTATGGATACTGGAATCAAAATATTCAGATTCTTTAATGAATATAAAAGATTCCTACCTTCCATTTGAATTAGAAGTGATGTATCCAGTCTTTATTGCAAAATTTAGTTATGTGTTTTAGTATGACTGACGTAAAATGCAGGTAAACTCTGATGATCTCTATCAATATGTGCATTTCTGAAGAACCCAAGTGAGAAATGGAAATATGTAGCATTTGAAAATATTGTTCAAATTTGAAGAACAAACACCCAAGGTTCTGAGATTGTTAAATTTACCTTCAGATGGCAATGTAAATGAATAATTTTAACACTTTTACCTAAAAATCTTAAAGTTTTTCAGACATAGTTTAACAGGTTTTTAGTGTTTTTTTTTTTTTTTTTTTTTTTTTAAAAGTATGAGTCATAATTGTCTGAAATCTTTAAGAAGCATAAACTATTCTTAGTTAAGTAACAATTCCATAAATACAATTGATTTTGCAGAAAATTAATTTGAACATTACATTACATAATGCATTGTACAACAGTAATGAAGAATGTTGAAACTGTGTAATGTTTTGTAGACTGGATGGCTGACAGGACTGAATCTTAAGTAAGCAAGTGAAAGAGAAATAGAAAATAATCGCACTGTGTTTTACATAGGCAGCTTATTTGATTGATTAGAGATGTTTTTAAAATTTGAGTAATGTACAGTTCAAAAAAAATGGAGTGCAAATTTTATTACTGTATGGAATGCTTGAACTTGAAAATGTTTTATCACTGTGACATAATTTAAATCTACTGTACTGAACATGTAGTGGTGTTATATCAATTTCTACAGGGAACTTATAACTCTTTAAAAAAAAAAAGTTAAAAAACCTTCAGTGTTGTTTTTTTTCTAAGAACAACAGTAAAGCTTTTAACATAAGGTTCCAGTGTAAATGTATTACATGTAAGCAGTTGTCCTCATCCCGTCAGGGTTCAAAACACACTGCATCTTCATTATTAACCACAAGACTGTGATATGTTATGTTTGTTTTGTTTGGACAACTCAGTATTGTGGCAAGGGAAGACCATCTATGCCTTTTACAAAATATACCTTTACCTTCCCAGTAGACATTCAGCAGCTATCTTCCTCTGTATTTATAGAAAAGAATAGCTCTGTGTAACAGCAAAATCTTGTATCCTCCTGGAGTACCCATGACTGACTTTGAACTCTGCACACTGCAGCTTAAGTTACTTTTAGAAATAACTGACAGAAGATGATCTCTGGGATCAACTCCAGTTTCTAAAAGAGGAGACAACCGTATCATGTAATCCTTTTTGTACAGGTTATGAAACCAAGGGTTATATTGGTTACTTGTTGAAACCAGTAATACATAGTGTCCCCCAAGGGTCCACGCTGGGACAATACTATTAAA